TTAACAATTATATTTTTACAAAAAAAATAATTTACATTTGAAATAAAAGTAATTTTTTTTTCGCATTCCTATGTTTGCAAAAAATGTTCTTTCACTTATTATACTCTTCACACAGTAGTCTTATTTAACATTAAATTTTAATTCATTAATGTCAGGTTTACTATTTCCGCAATTAAAATATCATCAACAAATAACAGTAAATATAAAATATAAATTATCAGATTCACATTTGAAGCTAATTTCAATCATTGCTTCATCAAAACTTTTATACCAAAATCTTGGAGCTTGCTTTAATCCATAGAGATTTATTTAACTTACATACTAAATTATTATCATTTTGAAAACCCTCAGGTTGTTTCTTATAAATATCTTCAGTCAAATTTCCATGTAAAAACGCTGTTTCTACATTCAATGGTACTTGTCTCAATTTTCTATCTCTATCTGTTTTTGTATACTTGGCATTTTACTAAATTTTCACGTATTTTTGAAGTTTCTCCCTTAAATTAAAACTAGATCTCTTTCGAAATTGATCTTTAAAATACTTTATATTATAATAAATTTTCATCTCTTTTCAATGGTACTTGTCTCAATTTTTTATCTCTATCCGTTTTTGCATACTTGGCGTTTTACTAAATTTTCACTTGTTTTTGAAGGCTCTCCCTTAAATTAAAACTAGATTTCTTTCGAAATTGATCTTTAAAATACTTTACATTATTGAAAATTTTCGTCTCTTTTCAATGGTACCTGTCTCAATTTTCAATCTCTATCCGTTTTTGCATACTTGGCATTTTACTAAATTTTTGCTTGTTTTTGAAGTCTCTCCCTTAAATTAAAATTAGATGTCTTTCGACATTGATCATTAAAATACTTTATATTATAAGAAATTTTCGTCTCTTTTTAATGGTACTTGTCTCATTTTTCCATTTCTATCCATTTTTGCATACTTGGCATTTCACTAAATTTTTGCTTGTTTTTGAAGTTTCTCCCTTAAATTAAAATTAGATCCGTTTATATGAAGTTTTCTTCTTAAAATGAGTCCAAGTATTTATATATAATAAGGCTCGAAACAGATCGTACTTTCTTCCATTCGTCCCTATTCTTGGTTTTTTCTTTCCAGTTGATGATCTTTTTTCCTTAATATTTTCTATAATCGATTCCCTCCATTTCCTTCTAGGCCTTCCTCTCTTTTTTTCCTTCTGGTGTTGTCCAAGCTACTCTTTTTACTGCCCTTGAGTCCTCCATCCTTTCTAAGTGCCCCAACTATCGTAATCTTTTTGACTGTATTATTTCGTATATGTTGGGTTCGTTAAATATTTCGTAAATTTCTTTGTTTGTTCGTCTTTCCCATCCTTCTTCTGTCTTTTTGCCCCATATATTCTTCTTAGAATCTTCCGTTCCCATATTTCAATTTTAGTCTGTTCTTTCTTATTTAGTGTCCATGTCTCACTACCGTATAGCATTGTTGGTCTGATTATTGTTTTGTACACACATTTCTTTATTTCTCATGACAATTCTTAAGATTTAAGTAAATTATGTAAAGCTCCTGCGCATCTATTGCTCTTGGCTAGACGGAGATATATTTCAGCTTGTTCTTCGCATCTATTTGTAAAGAGAACATCGAGGTACATGTAACTGTCTGTTTCGTCTATTGTTATTTTTCCTATGGTTTTGGTTTGTAATTCTAGCTTTCCGGGATTTTTTCTTAAATGTTTGTTTTTCAGTTGCATGTACTGACTCTTTTTTTCATTTATTTTTAGCCATTGTTCTTACCGCGTCTCATAACTGTTCTGTTATGTTTTTAAGTTCTTTTTGGCTTCTCACTAACAGTACAACATCATCTGCGTATGCTAATGTTTGGTGGGATCTGTTGATCAGAGTTCCATATCTATTTATTTCACTGTTTCTGATGACTATTTCAAGGGTTAAGTTAAAAAGAAGGGTGGATAATGTGTCTTCCTGCCTAAGCCCGTTTTGGACTTCAAATTCTTCGGTTTCCTCACCTCCTACTCTTATTGCACACCTTGTATTTTCCAGGTCATGTTCGTTAGTTTTACAAGTTTAAGAGGTATTTTTAGTTCTTTCAAAGCATTTACCAATTTTTGTCGATTTACTGTATCATATGCGCTTTTAAAATCAATAAACATAATATGTGTCGGTATTTCGTATTCGTAACAACATGTGAGTACCTGTTTTAAAATAAAGATTTGGTCAATCGTTGACCTGCCTTTTCTAAAGCCACATTGGTATTCTCCGATAATTTTTCCTCCTTCTACTTCTATTCTTCTTTTTATTAACGTGACTAGTACCTTATATGTAATGTCCAGCAAAGCTATACCTTGATAGTTTCCACAGTCTCCTGGGTCCTCTTTCTTATATATTGGCAGTATTACTGCTTTCCTCCAATTTAGTGGCATTTCTTCTGTTTTCCATATTTCTTTGATTAGTTGTATTATTTGTGTTAGTTGTTATCCTCCATATTTTAGGTTCTTTGCGGTAATTTTGTTTGATCCGGGGCTTTTATTATTCTTCATATTTAAAATAATTTCTATTATCTCTTCTTGTATGGGTTCCTCAGCGGTGTACATAGGGCTTTCATTTGCTTCTTCTTCCTCTTCTGCTGCTTCTTCTTCTTCTTCTGCTGCTGCTTCTTCTTCTTCTACTTTCTGCCATTCAGGTTCATCGTGAGTAGTTTTTGGAAGTATTGTTTCCATCTTTGCATTTGCTCGCTTTTTCCTCCTAGGGGGCGTCCATTAATTACGTGAGGTGTTCAAGGGGGGGAGGGGATAAAACTAAATCTTTCTAAATCTCACTTGGGGGGGAGGGGGGGTTTTCGTAAATCTCACGTAATTTTTTTTCTAGTAGAAAACGATGTAAAATTGCGTGAAAGTAAAGTTAAATTATAGTAAAAGTATTTCTAGAATAAAATATGGAAAAATCTTATAATTATGTCTTAAATAAAAGTAATGGAACATTGTATTGTGTTTTTGTTTTTTTTTAATAATCCAACACATTTACACCCAAAACACGAATTTTAAAAAATCTCACGTGAGATTAGGGAAGGGGGGGAGGGAGTTAAGGAAAATCTTACCAAATCTCGCCAGGGGGGGAGGGGGAGTCAAAAAATCCTTAAAAATACCTCACGTAATTAATGGACGCCCCCCTATTAAATTTCCTTTCTTATCCTTGATGTAAATATTTTTTGGCAAGTGTTTTCTTGTATACCTTCTACATCTTTATAGAAGTGTTTAATTTATTTTTTTTGTAATTTTCTTGTATTTCTGCGACTGTTTTTTCTCGATGACGCCTTTTCTTATTTCTGCACATTTTTTAACGTCCTTTCTTTGTTCTATATATTTTTTTCCGTCTGTATCGTTGTATTTTGTGTTTTTTTTTAATTTCTTCATCACATTCGTTATCTAACCATTCCTTTCTTTTCTGCGTTTTTTTCTTATTAATATTTTTCTCAGTAGATGGTTTTATGGCATTCTCTATGTTATTCCATTTCTTTTCTACTATGCTGGCTGTGTTTAAAACTGGCATATTGTCTAGACTTCTTTCCATGTCTGCTTTATATCTCCTTGATACCTCGTTTACTTGTAATTCTTTCATGTTATATTTTGTGTTTATATTTCTATAGATGTTTTGTTTTACCATTTTACGTACTGTTAGAATTATGTTAGCAATAACTAGAAAGTGATTGAAGTTTGCATTTGCCCCTCTGTATGATCTAACATTTTTTACTAAGTTTGCGTTTGGGTCCAAGTATTACTCCCATAAATTTTAGCATGTTATATATATAAAAAAAGATAAATTACAAAGCACGATGTTTCAAAATGTAGGCAGTACATTATACATATAATGTAGTTTTTTATTTTAAAATAATTTATTTGTAAAAGTTATAACAAATGTTATATCATTTTTAGATGATAAAATTTATTTTTTCTTTTAAAAACATATTAAAAATTTATTCAATATGTTTTCTCTTGGTGAGAACGAATTTGTAATAATTGAATACTTCACTGATTGATTTTTAATGCCAATAATATTAGCAAATATTACTTTGTCTATAAGATTGCAAATTAAGATTAATTATACAGTTTTTTTTTACAAAATTGCTAAATCGATAAACATAAAATTACATAAATGTTGTTTAATAATAATTTTAACACCTACATCATGTCGCAAAATCGTGACAGTCATGGTTATAGTTTTAAAAAAATAATAAAAAAAACATTATTTTTATTGTCTTGTAATATTTGTTTTATGTAGCAGTATAAAAAAAATTATAAAATAACATTAGTTCATGTATAGTAAGTGCAGGTTGTTTTACTAAAAAATATGAGAATTGTAGCAAACTTGCCTTAATAAAATGTTACTGTTGAAAAAAATACAGGGTGTTAAAGTTGAAATATTTTTTTACTTATTTTGATGGGTAATAATTTCACAACATATTTATTAATCGTTATCAAAATTGGTACAAAGGCATAACTTTAGACATAAAATATTACTTTATGTATTATTTTATATTTTGATACAGGGTGTGCCACATGAGCATTTTCTGATGACAATAGCTTTGTTTATAGCGAAGCTACTTTTGAAAGGCACCTAAGATATCTCTGTCCCCACAACGAGGGTTAACCAACGGCACTTATGCCTCACTAGACCCATTGTACATCCTCCTAAGTAAATAAGTACATTCTAGCTTGTGAGCCAGCCTACAGATTTAATATATAGTCGAATACCACAATTGTAGAGAGTGACTTACATTTTAAACATAAACCTTTGCGAATCTATGGGGAAAGAAAATCGACGAGTCATAGGCGTGCGGTTATTTTTAAAAATGATCTTCAGCATTTTAGAACGAATTGGTTGTCACCAAATTCACAGTCCTACATATTTATTGCCTTAAAACTATGTTATTCCCTCCCTGAAACATATAAGACTAATCTCTATGGTATGAAGATAAAATAACATTTTAAATATGTTGTTTTTTTTTACAGAACCGAACACACCAGGTAAATTTATAGTTTGGTTTCGAAACGAAACGACTCTTCTAGTGCTATGGCAGCCTCCGTACCCCGCAGCTATTTACTCACATTACAAAGTATCCATCGATCCACCGGACGCGAACGACAGCGTTCTCTATGTGGAGAAAGAAGGCGAACCTCCAGGACCGGCACAGGCAGCTTTCAAAGGTGATTATATTTTTTACTTGCATATTAAATTTGCTTTTAACGTATTTATCACTTGTTAAAATGTGATTTAGTTAAGTAAATGACAACTATCGAATTTGCAGGTTTGATACCTGGAAGAGCTTATAATATTTCGGTGCAAACAATGTCGGAGGATGAGATTTCCACGCCTACAACTGCTCAATATAGGACTGTACCGCTAAAACCTCAAAGAATATATTTCGACAGGGATAAGATTACGTCACATTCATTTGTCGTCCATTGGGATCCTCCGAGTGGAAAAAGGTAAGTTTATAATAAATAAGAAACGTTTATATATTATTTAGACCTGGTCTAATATTGTCTTTTCTTTCTTGGGTACTTCTATTTAAAGAAAAAAAATTAAATGTTTCTCTAAGTTTCTCTAAGTGTTTCTCTATAACTTTTTCACGAAGAACAGTGCCCATAACAAATATATATGTCTTAAATGACCAAGCGCTAACTGTTAAGGGTTCAATTAAGGATCTCGGCGTGTTTCTAGACTCCAATCTTAACTTTCGAGAACACTTTGGCATGGTAGTTAACAGCGCTGCACGAATGCTTGGCCTTGTAACACGAAACAGCGTTGACCTGTCTATAAACGCCTTTAAATTGCTGTATTGCTCCCTTGTCAGATCTCTATTGGAGTATGCATCTGTGGTATGGTCACCCTATCATCAGGTGCATGTATCTGCTCTGGAGGGAGTTCAAAATAAATTCTTGCATGTTGTTGCCTGGCGTTTTAATATTAATGTCCATACCGATGCACAAAATCCATATAATATTGATTATGAGCCTGTACTAAATCGCCTTGCGATTTCTACATTGGAGTCCAGGAGAGCGCAGTCTTCCATATGCTTTTTATACAAATTATTGATGGGAAGTATTAACTGTGATTGTTTGCTAAATTTAATTAACTTTTCGACCACGCGTCGAACTAGAAATAATGATCTTTTTTACATTCCCACCAATAGCACAAACTACGCCATGCACAACCCTCTCACCCGTATGTGTAGATTATACAATGAACATAATATCGATCCTTTTAAGTTCAGATCTCATCAGTTTAAAAAACATATTTCCAAAATTATGTAACTAAACTAAATTAGGTTGTTTTGGTATAAATGTGATATTGTTGTGTTAGTATCACTTATGAAATTTTGATATATTTTGTTATTCTACTAAAATTGTAAAAATGGAGTTTCCGTATAAATAAATAAATAAATATTGACTTGAATATATTTCACAGTTTCTTTTTACTTTTCTGCATTTTTCCTTTATTATAACATAATCTTTCGAAATTTGTCTTTAAAATACTTTATATTATAAGAAATTTTCGTCTCTTTTCAATGGTACTTGTCTCAATTTTCTATCTTTATCCGTTTTTGCATACTTGGCATTTTACTAAATTTTAATGTATATCTGAAGTCTCTCCCTTAAATTAAAAGTAGATGTATTTCGAAATTGATCTTTAAAATACTGTATAAAATGGGAAATTTTCGTCTCTTTTCAATGGTACTTGTCTCAATTTTCTGTCTCTATCCGTTTTTGTATACTTGGCATTTTACTAAATTTTCCCTTGTTTTTGAAGTCTCTTCTTTGAATCAAAACTAGATGTCTTTCGAAATTGGTCTCAAGAATACTTTATATTATAGAAAATTTTCATCTCTTTTCAATGGTACTTGTCTCATTTTTCTATCTCTTTCCTTTTTGGTATACTTGACAGTTTACTAAAATTTTGCTTGTTTTTGAAGTCTCTTCCTTAAATTAAAATTAGATGTCTTTCGAAATTGATCTTTAAAATACTTTATGTTATAGGAAATTTTCGTCTCTTTTCAATGGTACTTGTCTCAATTTTCCATTTCTATCCGTTTTTGTATACTTGGAATTTTACTAAATTTTCGCTTGTTTTTGAAGTCTCTCCCTTAAATTAAAATTAGATGTCTTTCGAAATTGATCTTTAAAATACTTTATATTATAGGAAATTTTCATCTCTTTTTAATGTTATTTTTCTCAATTTTCTATCTCTATCCGTTTTTGCATACTTGATATTTTACTTGTTTTTTAAGTTTCTTTCTTAAATTAAAAATAGATGTCTATCTAAAATTGAGCATTAAAATACTTTATTGTGATAAAGAGTAGTTATTTTTCATTACATTGTATATTTATTTCTATTTTAGTGAATTTGACAAATACCAAGTATCTTTGGGTACCGTTAGAAAACCTCCACCAGTACCTAGATCTAAAGAAGATCCGACGTTTTGGGAATTCAAAGATAACTTGGAACCTGGAAAGACTTATTCTGTTGTAGTTAAGACTGTATCTGGCAAAGTTACCTCTTGGCCAGTCACTGGGGATGTAACACTAAGTATGTAATTGTTTTTTAATTTCATTTTTTTGGTACTAAATTGTATCTTTAATTAGCTTTTATAACTATTTTTTAGAAAATGTTATTTATTTTACACTTATTTAATGTTTTAACACTTAAAATAACTAATTGAATGGTTTACTATCGTTTTTTGTCCATATTATAATAATAGTTGTTCTATTTTTGTGGCAAATCAGGAGTTTTTATTGTATTTTTTTGGCAGAATTACGGGTCTTAGGTATTTTTAATATATCAAACATTTTAGACTACTATAAATAGGTCGACCACCGTATCTTTTTTGATTTTTTTTTTAAATGTATAAATCGGGGTTAGAACTTATTAGTAAATAATGAAATACGGTCGCTTTATGGTACAAAATAACTACTTCCAGGGTATATATATTATATATATTATATATATATATATTGTAATGATATCGCACATTACCATTTTTAATTTTTTATTTTAATTAAAGTATTTTTTTATTTTATTTTTATTATTATTATTTTTTTTTTTTTTTATATCTCAGGGGTGCTTCAAATTATAATATTAATACTTTTATTTTGTTTAATCTTTTTTATGTAATCTATTTGAATTTTCTTTTAATTTTCTTTTAATTTTATTTCAATTTTATTTCAATTTTAATTTTATTTTGTCAATATTCAATAAAATAAAAAATGAAACTTATGAATTGATTATCTTTATACCCTATATATTTATTATTAGATAAACAAATTTTCAAAATCAGCATACAACTTTTAATTATACACAGATTATTAATTCCCAACCTTAAATTACAAATTATAACAATACCCCGCTATTTACAATCATGAGGATGATAATATACTATATTACTAAATCTACACTATATTCATTCATTCTTCATTCTCACTAACTATACTACATACTAAAAATTAAAGACTACAAAATTTACTACCAATGTCTTTTCTAGCACAATTATTACTTGATCTAATTGAAAATTAGTTCATAAAAAGTACTCACTATTGATGTAAATATCTATTTCTTTTACTGTCTTCGCCTTATCTGTCCTCTATTGAGTTTTTTTTTGATGTATGTCTCTCTGGAAAACCATTACCAATGTTTTCCCACAACCATTTTTATTCCATATAACTTACAACTTTTAATTATATTCACATGTTTGGTTAAATAAATTTGTTTATCCAATATAACGTTATATTATCAGTATTTCAATTCTTCTTTCATATATTTTAAAATAATTTACTATTACCAAAAAAAAATTTTGACATTTTTTTTTCTTAATTTCAAAATTGACAATCAATCATCTTCCAACCTAGCAACCCAATCCAGTCTACCTCCTTCACAAAGTCTCCTTCACTTATGACTTTCAATTTTACTATACAGGGTTATAACATTAATTTTTTTTATTTATTACTATTATTATTATTATAGTTATTATTAATATTATTATTAGTATGATTATTGTTTTTAGTTTTATTATATTTTAATATAGGGTGTTATCATTTCAATATATATATATATATATATATATATATATATATATATATATATATATATATATATATACATGCAATCAGACATTACTAAGTCCGAAACGTTACATTTCAAATGATATATGAAGCCCACTAGTCACTTACGAAGCCCGATTTCGGGCTTCCTAAAAACACAGTGTATAAATTCGTTTTAGAGGCAAGTAACCCCATCTCTATCGTTTAAGAAAAAAAGGGTGGGCTTCAAAATGTCGGAAAATACCTCCAAATATACGCCTGTAGTTCAGTGGTTTTAGCGGCAGAGGGCGCAACAGTCAAACGCGATTATATACAGATCATGTTAAACAAACCACCATTACGAAGCCCATCACATTCGGCAACACTGTAGTCTCGGGAATAATGAATTATTTACCCATTTCAGGTTTATTTTAACGCTTAACACATTCGCTGCGGGCGCGTCATCAAATATGCGTGTTAAATTTATATTATTTTAAATTTTTAGATAAATTTATTTAGTTGTGAAAAGGAGGTATTCATAAAAGTACCTGAAATATTTATTATAGGGAAGCGTATAATACTTAATTTCATTAGGATCACCAAAAATCTAAATAACAAGTATTAAAAGTAATTTTAAAAACTGACATCAAAATCGTGCAGATGCCATCACCACATCTTGACCAAATTTATATGGGACCACCCCTGAGGTACCCCCTTGCTAACAAAAAAATCATTAAAACTGAACAACGTGTTAAAGATTTATCGATTAACATACATTTAAAAAAATATTCCGACGAATTGAGAACCTCCTCCTTTTTTGAAGTCGATTAAAAATATATCTGATGATGGTTCTATAAAAATTTATATTATTGGAGGGTGGATTGTCCTACAGCACTTAGGCCTCACTAGACCTATTGTGCATCTTCCTGAATTAAGAGGCCCCTCTTAGGTTGTCAGCGAGCCTACAAATTTAATGTAGTTGACAACGTCGCCGAGAAGTGTTTATGTCGGCCGGTGTTAGCCATTGCTCGCTGAACACAAATCTTATAATTGAGAGTCTTGGACAAGAAAAGAGGATTCTCTCATCTTCTTGTTCGCATCTACTGCAGAGTGCTGATTCTGAGAGTCCCATGCTATGGATGTGCTTCTGTGCTTGGCAATGTCTATGGTCAGGCACATATTCTGTCTAGTCATAGTCAAGTAATTGTTTGCTGTTATGTTGCTGGGTAACTTTAAAGCACCCTGATTACTCTGCAGCTTCTTGTTGTTTTCTATCTTTACTTGAATTTCACAAGGAAATGTTATTTAAACAGGTTTGCCACTACCAATGAATAAGTCCAATTAAAGGGCCAGTTCCAAAAAGTATTTGGTTGTCTGCCTTCTTGCCTAGTGAATCAGCAAAACGGTTACGTTTTGATGTGGTAACCTCTGATTTATCTTAAATTGATCACAATATTGATAGATGATCCTTCGGCCTAAGCTACGTGACATTCTAGTACTAACCTTGAGTAAATTATTAATGGTCTGTCCAGCGTGAGTAGTTCTTGTCTGCTATCTCTATATTTTAACTTCTTTTGATGATATTAGTATCCCGTGAGCTCTATTTGAACTGCACTGAAATTATTGCTCAACGTACATTTTATATTTGTCACATCCTAAGCCTATTTTTCTTTTTGAATCGTCGGTGTAAATATGAATTTTACCCTTATAACTTTATATGGCTTATGGAAGATATATCTCGCTGAGAGGTGGTTCATGTTCGTTCGAAAAAATGGAAGCGTATCGAGTGCCTCTCGTCAAAAGCGACGTCTCGCCAGATCCTACATCAGGTTCTATTCCAATCATGTCATTGTCATCAAAGCAACCTGTTCGATTAAAATATCATTCGATCATGTATTGGAATAGATACGCCTTGTTTACATAAACAATTGTCGTATGATAATAAGGTCCACAATCGCATGCACAACAAACTGTGGTACCAGCAGAGGTTGCCGCAGTGTCACTTTCGGTTAAACGTATAAGGATAATAATTATTAGTTCCCAATGTTTCAAGGTTCGAAATACTTAATATGGAGCTTAATATTTAACAGTTCCTTTAAGAATCTTAATCATATTCATAAAATTTCTCATTTAATTTTCTTCTGCATTGAATCGGTGTTTAAATTAGATGTTTTTAGATTTTGTTCACTACGATCCATCGGTTTAACCATTAAATACTATATTTTAACTGGACATTTGGCAACCCTGTTTCTGTATGTTTTTAAAAGTGTCATTCGGTGTTTTATTTTAGTGAAATATTCTTGTTTTATTTATTTATATGAAAGAAATTATTTACAAACGTGATTATACATTTCAAAACAGTAAAGAGATGCATAGTTTTCCGAACATTTTGGACCAAAAACACCCAAAACCAATGCTTGCTATTTTCACAGGTAGGTTATGTCAAAATCAATCTCATGAAATGTAAATAATGTAGATATCCATGGGCGTAACAACTGTGCTAGGGTTTTTTTATTTCTTGATATGAAAATACCTAATAGTAGAAACTGGATATTTTATGGTATATACGTTTTACACGTTTCCGAGAGACATTGTCTAATGTCATTGTGGCTGAACAACTTGAAAATAAATGAGCAAGATCTCAAAACTGAAAGATGCCAAAGTTTGTTCAGATCACTTTTCACATGAAAATTTATTTAGCTATAATAAAATCGAACATTTTATTTGAAATCCAATGTTTTAGAGTAAGTAAACAAGTGCGTCTTTATATACAAACTTTCGTATTGAAATAGGTAAAAAGTAATTTATAAGTATTTATTGCAAACGTCTACTTACACCTAGTTAAACAATTCGTTTCTGAAACAAAGTGTTATTGAGGTCTAAAATACTGTGAAAAATAGCTTAGAACTGTTGTCTCCCAATTGTAGTTTAATAAACACAAAGTATACTTTTTGATTATATTAACCCATTATTGAAAACATTTTTTTAGTACATACTTCGTTGAGGGAAGTAGTATAGAAAATGTATATGTGTGAACGTATGATGATTATATTCGCTCAGTGCGAAGTTATGGTAGGGGAAGCAAAAGCGATACTAGCGCAAGCTGCAGATAATTCGACCACTTTAGGGCGATATTTTGTAATTTTGGCGTATCAAATACACGTATACATTTTACTTTTTTTGCAAAAAAGAAGCAAGAACAATGTAATAAGCAACCGTAGTTGGTGTGTACTAGAAGTAGAATCTCCCAAGGTATTTATTTATTTTTATCTTCTAAAAAGTAAGTTTTCACTTCTTTTACAAAATTAAATTATTTTCTAATTTATTCTTTTTTTTTTTAATTTATTCGGGTTCTGTGAATTAGAAAAGGAAACATCAATTTACGTCCTGCACTAATGTGAAAGCCTAACTAGATTGAGATTTCTTATACTAGATGAAGAAAAGCCAGACATATGTGACTACATGCATGTGGATGCCACTGTCAAGGAAAATAAGTCTAATAAAAAAGTCCAAGCTTAGATGACAAACTCTAAAACAAACGGAGTCCCACAATAGATCTGAAAAGGTCGCGGTGGACACGTACACATAATGTCAAACTCCTTTTAAATCTAATATCTAAGCTACCCTTATTTTTGACAGAAGCTTCGTGACATGCCACTCATATTTTGGTAAACCTTTTTTGTACAATTGCTATCGCATCATAATTTTTACGTAAAAGTCTTCAGTATTCTAAGAAATTCATGTATTCGTTTAATTGGGCATTTAGAAGCAAATTGATATGAAAATATTGTTTATTATTCGCACTCATAAGGAGCCTGTATAATAATTGCAAATGGTTACAACGTTGCCAATTGTCAATTAAAATGTTGAATATTGCATAAAACCATGGAAGTGACTCTTTTTTCGAAATATCAGTATACAATTTCAAGACAAAATAATCAAAACGATAAACCCCCTTGGATTATGGAGGAACATAATAATGATCCCATATGCGCGGGGTACTGCCTAAATATAACCAATGGGTTTTGAATTGTAAACAATTTTACTGCAGGTAAATATACTAAATACTAATGGTATCTAATACCGACCAATTTAAAATGAGTTGTTTACATGTAGTAATTATTAAGGTAGTTCACGCGCGACAGTCGTACACAAAAATATCGCCAATAGTTTGAGATTCTCAATGCTGAAAAATGTTATTTTTGTAAGATACTAAACACAACACATGTAAGCTTATGTACGGATACGTTATTATTTCAAGTAAAATCCATCCGGCAACGTCACAAATATAGGAATGGTGCGATATCAAGTGTATACCTATAGACATTTTGTGACTTCCTTATATTAATTTTAAGGTTTTGTTTTGGTTCAAACAGAAGCGTCGATTCCAGTTCTCAAATACAGTAGACAAATTAATTTTTCAAGAACACTTCACGAGGTTATAACAACCTCTTAGCTGATCGAGTGTAATTCAGTGATTCTGAACTAACAATGTTGCCAAGTTGTAATCCAGTTGTACCCCACTACGCGTCGACTGCTTTAAACACATTTTTCTTTTAAAAATCTATCTTTTTACCAAAACGATCAAAAAATTCAACGTTTTTTTAGAAAATTGTATAACTTTCTGATTTACATTACATTAGTTTTTAAAAAAATATATTAAGAACTGTTTTCGAAATATCTTGAAATAAATGCATTACTAATGTACATGACAGGCTTTAAGACTGTTAATTATGCACAATTTCATTGTTAATATCTCGTTTCACAGACGGTCAAAAAAAAATTTTTTTTGTTAGGTACGTAAAAGACATTTTCTTTAACCTTATATTTTAATTTTATTGAACTCTTAAGAAAAGTCGTCTTGCGAATGAACAACTTTAAATATTATTTAAAAAAAAAATGAAAATAAATCTTGACGCTTATTTTTAATTATATATAATATGTACCTATTTATTGTAGGTTTTTATTTGCATTTAAATTTTTAAAAAATAGCCATCTATCCAAATAAAACCATTTTAAATAAGGGATTCTTATTATAGGTATTTAAAAATATCAGAAAATGTCAATCGACGCTACCCACTTTAAATTAGTCACACCACTTCATGCATTGTCAGAATTGTTAAAATAGAGAACAAACACAATGCCATTATTTCTTCTGTTCCCTCTAACTTGTGTACGGCAAAATTTTGCTAGAGTACTTTGTAAATAATAAAGTTCATTAATCTCCGTAATTAGGGAGAGTATTATTATTATTTGTGTATAACTATTTTTGGTTGATAAATAAAATGCTTTAATTGGTCTTTATTTTATTTCATAAAGGAAGGTATGTAGTCAGAAATATGTATAATATTCTTGCTTTACATATAAAACGGGTTCTTCACAATATTTTTTTATTTTCTTTTCTCCTTTATCAGTCAAGCTTTATAGTAGGTATATTTACTCAAAATGTATATAAATTGTTTAAAGTACAAAATTAATAATCCTATAAAATTGAGTAAATAATATACAATATGACAAGCCTGTGCATGGTCTATGTAGTATCACAATACTGTGAAAAACTATTCTTACATTGAAAGTTGAAAATATACGCTATAAAACAATATTTTTAAAATCATGTCCATCCGCTTTCATCTAACATTTTATAGTAATTAACAATATATAACCCCTTCCATACGGTACGGCACTGCTAAGTTCTCCGTTTGTATACCTTTCCTCTCTCCCCGTCTAGATAATCATTAAACCCATTACTTCCACAGGTAAGGCGTATCTATCCTAATACATGATCGAATAAAATATCAAGAGGAGTGAGATGGAGAATGACTTTTACGGCTCCGGTTGATAGGTACATACAATCAACTGTTCGAGGAATAGCACAAATATAGTATACAGGGTGATTCCAAAGTTAATACTTTTTTTTAAATGTGTATTCATTAAAATAAACAATTTTAAAAAATCACAAGGATTTATGTCTGGTAGCCATGCAACTGGCCCATTTCAACGGATACACTTATTCTGAAAAGTAATGTTTCTATACTATCGTATTTTCCGACTAACGATATACCCAGATTTATATATTTTAATACGCAAGTTTCGTGGCCACCGTGCTAAATAATTGGATTTTTCGTTTTTTTTTTTATATTTATTTTTGACTTTTTTTTTTTGAAAAGGTTATTTATTTGAAAATAAAGTTTACTTGAATAGTTATGTATTTAAAAAAGTTATGTATATAAAGAATGAATTTATTTAAAAAAGTAATTTATTTGAGAAGTTATTTATTTCAAAAAGTTATTTATTTGAAATATTTATTTATTTGAACAATTTATTAATTTAAAAAATATATTATTTTGAAAAATTTATTAATTTGAAAAAGTTATTTATTTCAAAAAGTTAAGTTTGAAACGGCGCTTGGCCCGAATTGGCACATCAAACTGCCGTCTAGGAATCTCGACAGTAAATGTCGTGATGGTATAGAGTTAGGACATTTGTGCACAGAACAAAGATATCTGAGTTCGAAACCCACGACTGCATGCTTTTTTTCAAATCTCCAAGTATTTGTTTTTACCTTTGTGGTTCGGGGATGGCCTTAATAATACGTAGGGGGATTTTTGAGATTTTTTAAGAATTTTCAAATTATTTCTACAAATAATTTCAGATAATTCTTTCGGATATCTATTTGCGATTTATGATATATTCAATTCACAATTTTCGTACTTAGGTTTACGTCGCTTAACGTACAATGAAAACTTATCTCACGCAGACGAAGATATGAGCTTAGTATGCATCAATGCATTTCTCATACACACCGATGTTGTATAGAGGTATTTAAAGATTTGAGAACGAGCCTGAAAAGGCGCTTGGCTCAAATTAACACATCATACTGCTGTCTTTATGTACAGAAAAAAGATGTCTGGGTTCGAGACCTACCGACGAAAGGCTTTTTCCAAATATCCAAGTATTTGTTTTTACCTGTGGGGTTCGGAGATGGACTTAATAATTCGTAGGGGTATTTTTGAGATTTGTTTTCGAATTTTAAAATTATTTCTAAGTTATTTATTTGAAAAATTTATTTATTTGAAAAATTTATTTATTTGAAAAGTTAGTTATTTATATGAAAGTTATTTATTTGAAAAAGGTATTTATTTGAAAAAGTTACTAACCTATTCCAAAACTTTGAAAATACCCTGTATAGAATTTACATAAATAATGTCAGAAATTAGCTGATGGCCACTGAAATCTCGAAACTCGTAGAAAAATATTTCAACTAAATTGTAATATCCTTCTGCAAATTGATAGTCGTCACAATAGTCGAAAAATCAAAAACTTGTAAAAGTTATAATTTAGGCAACACCGCCGGGCTTCTAATAAACTGTGTAATATATATTTTGTTAAATATACACCACCGAAATAATAAAATATTACAATTTTATTTTATTTCCAAGTCCCGACCCCTCCCGCACAACCGGGCTTCGACTGGTCTACGTGATGTGATGGGCTTCGTGATGATAGCCGTGCATATATATATATATATATATATATATATATATATATATATATATATATATATATATATATATATATATATAGTCAACAGGATATTTAATAAATCGGAAAGGAATTTAGGTGACATATCATTTTGTATTTCATTCACGCTGTTTGACTTCGTTCTTTGTTTTCTGTTAATAAATATACTTAATTTTTTAGAACCTCTTCCTGTAAATCACATACGAACGAAAACTGACGAAAAAACTGGAACCATTACTATTTTCTGGCGGCCAGATCCTAGCAGCACTCAGGATGGCTACATGGTATCCTACCATGAAGCAGAAAGTACAACGGGTGACAGTAATACCGTTTCTACGAATCAAACTGAAATTAGCTTAGAAGCTCTGCTACCAGGACGTAACTATTCAATAACTGTACAAGCGGTGGCTAAAGATCAACAGGTGAGTACTAATGTTTTGGTAATAATATACAGATATAAATAATTACATTGATATCGTTGAATGTTTGTATATTATGTAAAGATGTTTTGTTTCTTTATAATGTGGTATATCAAGAATATTATTAGGAAACATGTCTTTGGAATTTGAAACATTTGATTGTCTTTAATTAATTACACTAGTTTACAGTTCATCTGTTGTCAAAGAAATTTCAGCTGTTGCTGACTACATATGATATGCTATTTTCAAAAATATAATTAGAACATTTTTATCAGCTCTAGTTTCTGACCTTCAGCTATGTAGGTATAAAACAGAAAAAAAAAATATGTATTTATTAAAAAAAACTTTGCTAACATAATAATGAATCATTGAGTTCTAAAAAACTTCATTTTAAAGCTCTTCTCTTATATGTAGACTTTGGAAAATGACGTATCACAGACCAACAATAGTCAGACATCATATTCGTGTCAAAGAAACCCTGATAGCGTTCTTCCATGACGTGTAAGTCTTGATGCATACGCTCTTCCTGCTCTTCGCTCATATCTCCTAAATTTTCCGGAAACTTGTCCAGGTGACTATGGAGGAAGTGCTCATATTGCACCAGATATTTTTTAATTGTAGCAGAAGGTCTTCTACAAGTTCAATGTAATTTGCAAATTTTTTATTTCTGAGAAAATTTTGCATCACAGAGACGAAAGCTGTACAAGCCTTTAGTTCTAACTTAGTCATAGAATTTATAAATTGACTATCTTTCGTAAGTTGTCTAATTTGGGGGCCATCAAAAATACCGGCTTTAATCTTATTCCATAGTGAGCTGAGGAAATTTTTGGTAAATATAAGAAAAGCAGTTTCCGTCTTTATTATCTAGTGATTTAATAAACTGTTTCATGATGCTCAATTTTATATGTAATGGTGGAAGAATAATTTTGTCACGAGCTGCTAATAAATTTTGGATTATATTTTGCTTTCCAGGCTTCATATTTTCTCTCAAAAGCTAATTTCTTCTTACCCAATACTCTTGTTTAGCTCTACTGTCCCAAAGACATATAAAACGGAAACTTAGTGCAACCACTTTGTTGACCGAGAAAGAATGTTCACCATTTTTAAATCGACACAAATTTGCCACTTATGGTCACTGTATTTTATTTTGTTCAAGACTAGCGAAATGTTACATTATTCCTCCTTTAACTTTGTACTGTGGGCAATAGGTACCCCAGCGTATGTATTGCCATTATGTAATAGAATACATTTTAGGCTACGTTTTGAGCTGTCAATGAATAAACGCCAGTCGTTTGGTTCGTATTGTCCTAAGCACATTTTTATTAACAAGTTTTTAATATCTGAACAAAAGATAATACCGTTTTCTTTGGAAAAATAACGCCGTAATTATTTATCTCTTTCACGATAAAAACTTATTTTAATATCTGAGGAAAGCAAATTTTTTTCTTTCAGACTTGATGCTAACAATTCTGAAGCTTGTTTAGAAAGATTTAAATCTCTTACAAGATCATCTAACTCATTTTGGCCCATTTGATGAACCTTCAAAATCATCGGCATCACTTTGTGATGAGCTTGGTCCTTCATTGTCTTGTTCTAATGGTTCAGATATATTTTTAGGAACTGAAGAGTCAGATGAACGCTGCACTGGACGTTGAACACAACTAGTACTTGGGTACTGCCATTTAGCTCGATTTTTAGTGTTTAAACCGTTTACGTTCACGGTACAAAAGTAACAGTCTTCGAGATGATTTCGTGGTTCTCGCCAAATAGTCGGTGTTTCAAATTTAAAGGCATTTCTTTTACCACTTTTCCATAATCTTAAATATTTCACACACGATTTACAAACACGATTGGGAGCCCAAGACTTCTCATTTTTATCCAAGAGCATCCCAAAATACTCAAAATAGGTATTTTTCACCAACTCTGATATAACTTTTCTACAATCGTTAAACACATATTCTCCGCATATACAGGGTGTTTCATAATGTATGACTTTGACTTTGATAGCTCGTCCAAAAATATGAAAAACGTTTCTATTAACTTACCCTCTAAAATGCACCATTTTCGAGATACAGGGTGTTGAAATTGAAATTGAAAAAAAAAACAAAAAAAAATTCTACGCCACTGGAAAAAGTACGGCTTTGAGACGTCCATTTGAACCGCCAATGTTTTCTACACAAAAAAGGTACTCTTGGTCATTTGCTCTAAAGTCGACCGTTTTCGAGAAAAATCAAATTTTAATGTTGAAATACATGGTCAATTTTTGGAAATGAAACAAAATTTGATTTTTGTCGAAAACAATAAATAATTTCGTTACTATTAATTTAGATTCTATAATCGATCTTTTTATTGTCGATTTTTTCTATTAATACTCTTTACAATCGATTCTTTTTATAAAAAATTCTTTTTACAATCGATTTTTCTAATAAATACGTTTTACAATCGATTCTTTTTATTATTAATGCTTTTTATAACTGATTATGTTTATAATAGATTTTTTTTTAATAATTACTTCATCTAAATATGTTAGTCTATCTTCAGAATCCATTTATATGGTAAATAAACCCAACGCGCAATAATAGAAGACCAGCCCATGATCGATGATTCAGGCTTCAATCGACATTTTACAATTGACATATTTTTCGAGTGATTCGTTTACAATCGATTATTTTTTACTATTATTACTTTTAGAGTCAGGTTTTTACAAATCAATTTTTAATAGATTTTATATTAGTTGATTATTTTTTTTACATTTGCTTTCTCTTGAAATCGATTTTTTTTAAATCGTTTTCATATAAGAATATTTTTCTTACAAACGATCCTTAATTCAATTGATGTACTTTACAATAAGTAATTTCGTTCCTATTAATTAAGATTCTTTATATAATCAATCCTTTAATTTTTTTACTATTAATACTGTTTACAATCGATTCTTTTTATAATCGATTTTGCCAATATAAGTTTTACAATCTATTTTTTTATTATTAATACTTTTTATAACTGATTCTTTTTATAATAGATTTTTTTTAATAATTACTACATTTAAATTTTTTACTGTCTTCAGAAGAATCGTTATATGTAGTAAATAAACCCAACGTGCAATAATATAAGACCTGCAACCTATGATCGTTGATTTAAGCTTTAATCGAAATTTTACAATCGACACTGTTTTAAGTGATTCACTTTACAATCGATTCTCTTTTACTATTAATACTTTTTATAACCGATTCTTTTTATAATCCATATTTTTTAAAATAATTGCTGTATCGTAATATTTCTACATCTAAATACGTCATCAATGGTATAAGCCGAGAATAACCAATTCTCGGGTATAATCATCAATTAATACCTTTTACAATCGATTTACTTTACAATCGATTCCTTTTTTGCTAATATTACTTTATAGAGTCAATTTCTTACAATGGATTTCCACAATCGTTTTTTGCAATCGATTCGTTTTTTTATCGATACCTAATTTAATCGTTTTACTTTGAAGTCCTATTAATATCGATTCTTTTTCCAAAAGGTTTTTTTGATGTCGATTTTTTACTAATACTTTTTATAATCGATTCTTTGTATAATAAATTATATTTATAATCGATTCTTTTATTGTCGCTTTTTTACTATTATATCTTTTTAAAATCAGTTCTTTTTATATTAAATTCTTTTTATAATCGATTTTTCCCATAAATAATTTTACAATCGAATCGTTTATATCATCTATATTGTTAAAAACATACCTAACCTATCAGGATGTGTCAGTGATAATATTCTTTGCAAATTGACCGCTGACGGTCGGGCGATTGATTCGTTCTATTGCCTCAGCTCGTGGCAAACAGTCGTTATTTTGCAGAAGATATTGTGTGTGTCGAAAAATAATATTATTTGTGATTAGTTCCTAACAATATATATTTTTTACAATTAATTATTTTTACTATTAATACTTTTTATAATCGATTTTTTTAAATAATTGCTATATACTAATATTTCAGTCTTCAGAAAAATCGATTTACATAACCAAACTTAGTGCGCTAATAATAGAAGACACGTAATATTACTTTTCTTATTAATATTACTTTTTAGAGTCAATTTCTTACAATGGATTTTCACAATCGTTTTTTACAATCGATACTTTTTGCAATAATCTTTTAATCAGTCGATTTTTTATAGAAACTTAATTCAATCGATTTGTTTTAAATTTATATCAATATCGATTCTTTTTATAAACAAGTCGATTTTTAGTTATACTTACAATCGATTCTTTTTATAGTAACTTTTTTTATAACTGTATTATAATCCATCCTTTTATTGTCGATTTTTTACTATTTTAACTTTTTACAGTCGGTTCTTTTTATAATAATTTTTTTTTATAATCGATTTTTCCAATTGAATCTTTTATCATCTATATATATACTTTTTACAAATAATTATTTTTACTATTAATACTTTTTATAATCGATTTTTTTTTTATAATTGCTACATCCTAATATTTTTTTTATAAAAATTTTAAATTCTTATTAATATCTATTTTTAATTATACTTACAATCGATTCTTTTTATAGTAACTTCTTTTTAATTTAAATTCTATTTATAATCGATTCTTTTTATAATAAATACTTTTTACAGTCAATTAACTTTTACCATCGAATCTTTTTTACCATCTATACTCTTAACAATCGATTCTTTGTATAATCGATTTTTATTTTTAATAATTACTCATATAAATATTTCAGTCTTCCGAAGAATCGATTTACGTAGTAACCAAACCCAGCGCACCAATAATAGAAGATCTGCGACCCATGATCGACGGTTTAAACATCAGTTGGAAATCCGATGTTAACTCCAAGCAAGACAAATACGAAATACAATGGATCAGAAACGATACCCACGAAAGAAACATACGAACGAGCTACGAATCGAAAATTATTCTGAGCCACTTATATCCAGGAGCAGGTTATTTGGTTAAAGTTTTTGCTATATCGCACGGATTGAAGAGTGAACCGCATGAATATTTTCAACCTGTATGTAAGTGACAAACAATCATAATTTTTAATTCAATAAATTATTTTAATGATTTGGACATTTTAAAATTCTGATCTTTGAATCAAAAATTCGAATGTGGCATCAAACAGTTATGGATCGAGGAAAGACATATCCTTTTGGTTAATAATATTAGATTAACATTAAAGAATTTCGATGATCTTAAATCACGTTTTTCGCTTTTAAAAAAATTGTACGAGATGGTGGCGATAACCTGATGATGACTCTATGGCTAAAAGTGCTAGACTAAAATGTAGTGAAGAAAGAGAAATTCATTAATTTTCCGATATCACAATACATTTTAAAAATATATTTTCATTTCCTTTTCTAATTGATATTTAATTGAACATTTTTCAGTTCCAAGACCACCAAAAAACATGTCCATAGAAAAAACAACATCGAACTCGGTTTTGGTTCAATGGACGGCACCATCGGAGTCACTGATTTCTGAATACGCGATACGGTATAGAACGGACTCAGACAACCAGTGGGTCAGATTACCGGCAGTTCAGAACACCGAAGCGGAAGTTGCTGATATGACTCCCGGCGAAAGGTACACCATACAAGTCAACACTGTCAGCTACGGTTTGGAAAGTAACGAGCCTCAGCAACTGAATCATACAGTCAGTAAGTAACATGAAGCTTTTTTTTTATTATTTTAATTTATATATACACTTATATACTAATTTATTTATAATTAATTTATTATATACTTTACACTAATTTATTTATAATTAATTTATTTACACCTAATACTAATTTATATGGACATTTACTTAAATACTAAAAAATACTAAAAAATACTAAAAAATACTAAAAAATACTAAAAAATACTAAAAAATACTAAAAAATACTAAAAAATACTAAAAAATACTAAAAAATACTAAAAAATACTAAAAAATACTAAAAAATACTAAAAAATACTAAAAAATACTAAAAAATACTAAAAAATACTAAAAAAATACTAAAAAATACTAAAAAATACTAAAAAATACTAAAAATACTAAAAAATACTAAAAAATACTAAAAATACTAAAAAATACTAAATAAATACTGTCCATAAATTTTGTCTTATTGTTTATCTTAAATTTATTTGTACGACCTTCATTTTTCAGGACCGAATTCCGTTTCGAACATCAACCCGATAGTAGACTCGAACAACGTGACGTTAGAATGGCCGCGACCCGAAGGTAGAGTGGAAGTCTACATAGTAAAATGGCGAGAATCGACTAATCCGAGCCAAGTAAACAAACAGAATATTAGTCAAAATCAAAATGGAACTGGGCCTGTAAGAATGCTTATCGGCGATCTGATACCGGGAGTCGAATATACGTTCGAAATTCAAGCTATATCTCATGAATTGAAAAGCGAAATTACTATATTAAAAACGAGAACAAGTAAGTAATGTTTTACTTTTATTAAAATAAATAATTAGTTTAATGTGTATAAGTAAAATGGGTGGGGAGTTCTGATATCAAAATTTGTATCGATTTGTATTTATGTGAATGAAATTCCCCAAATTTTGTATTCAGTTAATTTATTTTTCAAAATTATTAAAAATTATACATTCGATATGGTAGAGTAAAACTATTTTTTATTTTAGTGCCTCTAATTCAATCCGAATTGGTCGTCGTCAATAATCAACAATCGACCGATACGATCAGTCTTAGATACACTCCGACGCCCACCAGTACTTCCAGATTCGACACCTATCGATTTTCGTTGTCGGATCCGGCGATACCGGATAAAGAAAAGACAGCGAACGATTCTGATCGGTTTATTACGTTCACCGGACTGGTTCCGGGTAGACTGTACAATATCACTGTGTGGACTTTGTCTAAAGACGTCGCTAGCCAACCGTTGCAAAGACAGGATAGATTATGTAAGTATTGATGTTTATTACTTAGATACACTTTGATTTCTTTTTAATATATTCAATCTTATTGCATCTTTTCAGTATTTTAACGTGACAAGTGACTGTTTGACAGAACAGCATTTTTATGTAATTGACAAGTGACAAAATGGTCTCTTTCTGATTAAGTAACTAAAACTTAATGGATTTAACACTTACTTTGCAAATCTAATAACAATATTTCTCACAACTTATTCATAAATACCATTTGTTTACACGTCAGATATGGTTGAAAATGGCGCCATTGTTTATATGATTGATATTACTACCATAAAAAATGTGTTTGTAATTAGGGAGAACCCGAATATAGAACATACTGTTAGAATTCGTTTATTGATAAAATAAATATAAAATTTAACAAAAAACGTCATGTGTCATTTTCATTAACATAATCGGATGTCTGAATAACGATATTTAAAAATCAGATTTTAAGCTATCAATGGTATCCTTAATTTTTAATTAATTTTATTCCTCTTGATTTAAAAACGTTAATATACGGTGGCGGTCCTTCAATGTTTATTAAGTATTGGTTTTCTTTACAAAAATTCAAATTCACTTGTTGAAACGATTTAACACGTTGTGGAATATTTTCTGCTGTTACGCAATTGGACACAATAATATTTTATATATCGAATTTAGTTTATTTTCTTTTTTATTTGTTGAAATATTTTTGAAATTTTGTTTTGCTGTCCGTCCGTATGTGTGTCTACGAATTTCTATAAATTTCTATCAGTTTATATCAATTTATATCAATTTATATCAATTTATATCAATTTATATCAATTTATATCAATTTATATCAATTTATATCAATTTATATCAATTTATATCAATTTATATCAATTTATATCAATTTATATCAATTTATATCAATTTATATCAATTTATATCAATTTATATCAATTTATATCAATTTATATCAATTTATATCAATTTATATCAATTTATATCAATTTATATCAATTTATATCAATTTATATCAATTTATATCAATTTATATCAATTTATATCAATTTATATCAATTTATATCAATTTATATCAATTTATATCAATTTATATCAATTTATATCAATTTATATCAATTTATATCAATTTATATCAATTTATATCAATTTATATCAATTTATATCAATTTATATCAATTTATATCAATTTATATCAATTTATATCAATTTATATCAATTTATATCAATTTATATCAATTTATATCAATTTATATCAATTTATATCAATTTATATCAATTTATATCAATTTATATCAATTTATATCAATTTATATCAATTTATATCAATTTATATCAATTTATATCAATTTATATCAATTTATATCAATTTATATCAATTTATATCAATTTATATCAATTTATATCAATTTATATCAATTTCTATCAATTTCTATCAATTTCTATCAGCTTCTATCAATTTCTGTCAAACTTTATCAATTTCTAAGAGATTTCTAAGGAATTTCTAGGAAATTAATTTCTATATTAATGTTAAGGAATTTATAGGACATTTATAAGGAATTTCGAAAGATTTTCTAGGAAATTTCTAAAGAATTTTTAGGGAATTTTTGACAACTTCTCGTCAATATCTGCACAATTTCCTGGCAATATCTAGGCAATTTCGATCAATTTCTATCAATTTTTATCGATTTCTTTCAATTTCTATCAATTTCTATCAATTTCTATCAATTTCTATCAATTTCTATCAATTTCTATCAATTTCTATCAATTTTTATCAAGTTTTAAAAAATTTATATCAATTTATTTCTTTTTTGTCAATTTTTTTTTTAATTTCTATCAATTTCTACACAATTTTTTGGCAATATCTAGGCAATTTTTGGAAAAATTTTGGTAATTTCTAGGTAATTTCGATCATTTTTTATCGAGTTCTATAAATTTATACAATTTTCTATCAATTTCTATATGGGTCATTCTCAGTTGAGACGTAAATCGCTTATTGATAAAACGCGACACGACAAAAATTTTGAAATTGAAATCAAATTTTACAATGGTTCGATCAAAACAATCACTTCAAACGTGCCTGCAAGACGGTCAGTCAATTTATTGATTTTATCTCGTTTTATAAGATGCCAGGGGAGATACTCATCCAGGGGAGAGACTTAATGCACAGAGTAGAATACTTTATGATTAGAGAAAGGATTTTAACATTATTTTATGAAAGAAAACAACATTTTATTGAAGTATTAACTTTATTCAGTCATTTTATAATTTTATTTATCAATTATTAATTGATAATAATTAGTCTTTAAAGTTTTCATATCTCCCCTGGATATCGTGTCTTTCCCCTGGCCCTTACAAGACAGGGGAGATATAAACAGGGGAGATACTTTTTAGTAACAAAAATAGAAATAATGACAAATGTATTTATTGTATGAAATTAACCAAGAAAAGTTAGAATCTATACACAACGAGAAGTAAATATACGAATGAATTAAAATTTTTAGATGAATATTTTAAAAATAAAACTTACCAGGGGAGAGACTCCGTTCACTCGTTGTCAACTGTATGTACAGAGTGCCAGTAACGAAATAAATGACTAAATGACTGCGCACCTAGTTCGAGTGGCTCTGATTACAAACTATACACTCAACAACGTTCGCTCAAGGTCTTCAATTTCCGCAAGTCAGTAAACAAATGCCGATTTTACACAAAAATAAGCGTGCCAGGGGACGAGACGCAAAATACGGGGGACAAACGTAAACGTAATTTTTTTTTTTTTAAGAAAAAAAAAAATCACGCAATTTTACTTGCTTGATTACGATAATTTATTTAAATTTAAATAAGTTATTTGATTTTCAAGTACTTAAAATTACAAATAAATAAACAGAATCGGCCCGGGGACAAGCCAGGGGAGAGATGTTTTCCGACTTTGAGGTGAAATTGTGACTAAATTAAATAAAATTAAGAAATGAATTTGAGTGACCAATTATATGAGCACGAGTTTTAAGAGAAAATAACATTCTTTTTAATAAATTTTTTTAAAAAAGGTGATTTTTTGTTATGGACGTCGAATTTACGGCTTAACTGAGAATGACCCATATCAATTTTATTTATATCAATTTCTGTCAATTTTTACCAATTTATATCAATTTCTATCAATTTCTATCAATTTCTATCAATTTCTATCAATTTCTATCAATTTCTATCAATTTCTATCAATTTCTATCAATTTCTATCAATTTCTATCAATTTCTATCAATTTCTATCAATTTCTATCAATTTCTATCAATTTCTATCAATTTCTATCAATTTCTATCAATTTCTATCAATTTCTATCAATTTCTATCAATTTCTATCAATTTCTACCAATTTCTAAGAATGTCTAGGGAACTTCTAGGCAATTTCTATCAATTTTTAAGAATTTCTAGTGAATTTCTAGAGAATTTCTAGAGAATTTCTAGAGAATTTCTAGAGAATTTCTAGAGAATTTCTATGAATTTCCTTGAGCCCCCAGGTTTTCTTTGGATGTTATTCTCAATTTCAGTGTTGGTTTTCTCTTCATTGTTTCTTTTAAAATTATATCGTTATGTTAATTTTGGAGAAGAAGAAAGATGGTCAAAACAGAGGTCTAGAATAACTTCACTATTTTATTGAATTAAAACTTTCATTTAATGGGACCAAATTTTCGTAAGTCCGCTAAAAAGGAATATTATATTTTTAAATTTTTATATTGATGGAAACTACGGATTAATCGTATGTGAAACAATGATTTTTTATTTTTAAATTTGCTTCATGAATCTGCTGTGGTTGATCGTTGCCAGGAATAAGGTCCGTACTCATTAAGTGAGTCGCGCTCACAGAAATACGTGGAGATTTTTGGGGTACTACTAGTGCTACTAGGACTACTAGCCCCTGAAATTAATTTGATATACAGCTTTCTAAAATTCTAATAGCTAAAACACTCTACCGCCACACAGTTCCAATAAAAACATCCATCCTCCGTATTATAATTGTTATAATTATTTGAGGTACATAGAACTCGTTTCTCGACAAACTTGGATTAGCACAAAAAGCATTTCAACTGTTTTTTTTTTCATTTCGAATCTTTCGAAAAAAGAATATTAATTAAAAATTTTTTTTGCGTATTTCATTTTTGATTTTTAAATTATATATCTCGTGGATTTAATATAGAGTAATAAACTTTGTTTGACACCATGTTGAATTTTTCTAAATTTCATTTTCCGAAAGTTGGTAAACAACAACTAGTTTATAATTATTTAAATTGGGAGTATTAGTTATTTTTATTTTCGGTACTTTATAGCTCAACCGTATTAGTTTTTTCTTTTCGTGGAGCTGGCAGACTGGAGTAATTTTACTGATTAGGGTTTTGTCTTTGCATTTATTTATTTATTTCAATTACTTTGCAAGGACTGTATGCCGTTTCATTTCAATTATTTACATGTTTGATTTTAATTTAGTTTACTTTTAGTAGATACTTGCCCGGTGTTGTTTAAATAGCACTTATTTCCTTCAATGACTTGGCTTGGATAGCAGCTTGTTTTATATCAAGTAATTATATTACATTTGATTCGTGTTTCTTCTGTATTGATTAACTTTTTCTGAATATTTCTAACGCAGTTTTCAATATTTTTAGTACATAATTCTATTTATTAAATTGTTAATTATCTATTAGACCCCGAACCAATCACTGGTATAAATTCGACGTACATATCAGACACCGAAGTAACTTTAACCTGGTCATCACCACGAGGCGAATACAACGCTTTTGAAGTCCAATATCTAACCACCGAAAACTTCTTCGTCCAAAATCTAACGACGCACAACTCCATCATCATCAGCGACTTGAAACCGCATAGAAACTACACTTTCACAGTCATCGTTCGAAGTGGAACCGAATCCAGTATACTAAGGAGATCTTTACCTGTTTCGGCCATTTTTACTACTAAAGAGAGCGTGCCTGGTAAAGTGGATAAGTTCGAACCTGTCGATATACAAGCTGGGGAAATACATTTCGAATGGGCGTTGCCGATATCCGAGCAAAATGGAGTTATTAGAAAATTTACGATTACTTATGGATTAGAGGTGAGAAAGTTAAATAATTTACATTCACGGTTGGGTTCTAATTAAGAGTGCTGTTCCTAAAGTGGCGCTAGGAAACACTGACAAAGCCTACACAGAACACGAGGCTTAGTAATCGATGCCGATAACATCAAATTAAAAAAAAATATATATTATTAAAGTTTTTTAATTTTTAGTTTTTTTTTAAATTCTTTTAAATTGCTTTTACATTTTTTAAATTTCTTGTAAATTTCTTTTAAATTTCTTGTAAATTTCTTTTAAATTTCTTTTAAATTTCTTTTAAATTTCTTTTAAATTTCTTTTAAATTTCTTTTAAATTTCTTTTAAATTTCTTTTAAATTTCTTTTAAATTTCTTTTAAATTTCTTTTAAATTTCTTTTAAATTTCTTTTAAATTTCTTTTAAATTTCTTTTAAATTTCTTTTAAATTTCTTTTAAATTTCTTTTAAATTTCTTTTAAATTTCTTTTAAATTTCTTTTAAATTTCTTTTAAATTTCTTTTAAATTTCTTTTAAATTTCTTTTAAATTTCTTTTAAATTTCTTTTAAATTTCTTTTAAATTTCTTTTAAATTTCTTTTAAATTTCTTTTAAATTTCTTTTAAATTTCTTTTAAATTTCTTTTAAATTTCTTTTAAATTTCTTTTAAATTTCTTTTAAATTTCTTTTAAATTTCTTTTAAATTTCTTTTAAATTTCTTTTAAATTTCTTTTAAATTTCTTTTAAATTTCTTTTAAATTTCTTTTAAATTTCTTTTAAATTTCTTTTAAATTTCTTTTAAATTTCTTTTAAATTTCTTTTATATTTCTTTTAAATTTCTTTTAAATTTCTTTTAAATTTCTTTTAAATTTCTTTTAAATTTCTTTTAAATTTCTTTTAAATTTCTTTTAAATTTCTTTTAAATTTCTTTTAAATTTCTTTTAAATTTCTTTTAAATTTCTTTTAAATTTCTTTTAAATTTCTTTTAAATTTCTTTTAAATTTCTTTTAAATTTCTTTTAAATTTCTTTTAAATTTCTTTTAAATTTCTTTTAAATTTCTTTTAAATTTCTTTTAAATTTCTTTTAAATTTCTTTTAAATTTCTTTTAAATTTCTTTTAAATTTCTTTTAAATTTCTTTTAAATTTCTTTTAAATTTCTTTTAAATTTCTTTTAAATTTCTTTTAAATTTCTTTTAAATTTCTTTTAAATTTCTTTTAAATTTCTTTTAAATTTCTTTTAAATTTCTTTTAAATTTCTTTTAAATTTCTTTTAAATTTCTTTTAAATTTCTTTTAAATTTCTTTTAAATTTCTTTTAAATTTCTTTTAAATTTCTTTTAAATTTCTTTTAAATTTCTTTTAAATTTCTTTTAAATTTCTTTTAAATTTCTTTTAAATTTCTTTTATATTTCTTTTAAATTTCTTTTAAATTTCTTTTATATTTCTTTTAAATTTCTTTTAAATTTCTTTTAAATTTCTTTTAAATTTCTTTTAAATTTCTTTTAAATTTCTTTTAAATTTCTTTTAAATTTCTTTTAAATTTCTTTTAAATTTCTTTTAAATTTCTTTTAAATTTCTTTTAAATTTCTTTTAAATTTCTTTTAAATTTCTTTTAAATTTCTTTTATATTTCTTTTAAATTTCTTTTATATTTCTTTTAAATTTCTTTTAAATTTCTTTTAAATTTCTTTTAAATTTCTTTTAAATTTCTTTCTTTTAAATTTCTTTTAAATTTCTTTTAAATATTTTAACTTTATTTATTTTTTTGTATACGTTCCAGGGCGCCTCACACAAACTGTTCAAAGATTTCGGCTCGAACGAGTTCAGGGGTAACATCAGAAACCTGGAGCCGGGCAGAACGTACATTTTCAGAATCCAAGCTGAAACCAGCGTTGGATTCGGTCCGGAGGCAATTTGGAAGCAGAAAATGCCGATCACCGCTCCGCCTATACCAAGTTTGCAAGTCGTTCCTACTGAAGTGTGCAAAAGTCCCACTTCGATCCAAATCCGGTTCAGGAAGAATTATTTTAGTGATATTAATGGGCCGGTAAGTGTTTTATTTTTCTAATGGTTTTCAAAATCTTTTAATAATTTTTATTATTATTTTTTTTGTTTTTAAATTTTTTACTTTTTATTTTTTTTATATATTTCTTTTCCATTTTTTCTTTCCTTTTAATTTTTTTAACGTTTTATTTTTAGTTTTTTATTTTAATAATTTTATAACTTTGCTCGAAGGTAAACTTGAAATTGTTTCAGGTAACATCATACGCCATCATAGTCGCAGAAGACGACTCCAAGAACGCCTCGGGTCTCGAAATGCCTAGCTGGAGGGACGTCCAAGCCTATTCAGTATGGCCTCCTTATCAAGTCATCGAACCTTATTATCCTTTCGTTAACAGCTCAGTGGAAGATTTTACAATCGGCGGGGAGTCGTGCGATATCAGACAAGTCGGTTACTGCAATGGTCCTTTGAAGTCTGGAGCTGTCTATAAAGTGAAGATCAGAGCTTTTACAGCACCTGATAAGTTCACTGATACCAGTTATAGTTTTCCTATTCAGACAGGTAAGAAAATTTGTTTCTTTTTTATGCAAAAATTATTTAACAACACTTTAAAAACAAAATGATGTTTTATAAAAATTATCAATTTATAGGAGAGCATTTTTAATATTTAATATTATTTTGTTCTACAAAGTTTACTGTTAAAACGTTTAGTTCTTTTTGTATCAATAGAATTATTTATTATAGAAATAAGGAGACTACACGGTACTAGTGAGATGCAAGTGGAATTATTTCTTTATTTAATTTTTTTTATTTTTTCTAATTTTTGTTAATTACTTATTTTTCTATTTTTGTTTTATTTTCTTTCATATATTTTTTATTTTTTTCTATTTTTTCTAATTTTTTTAATAATTTTTTTATTATTTAATTTTTTTATTATTTTTCTTTAATTTTTTTTTTAATTTTTACGCATGGATACGTCATCATTCCACTTGCATCTTATATTTATTATATGTTTAATTAATTTGTTAATTAAAATGTTAAAAATAATTTTGAAAAGGGACTTAAAACGGATTTTTAGTAAAGTGTGGTTTTGCTTTAAAATTTGAATGATTTGAAGGTTTTATAATTTTTATTTTATTATTTATGCTTTCTTAAAGGACTGCTTATTTTATGTAAGTACATGATTTTAGACTTTCTATCCTTAATAAGAGATAAAAATTGTTATAACAAACTTTTTTTAAATTAATTTCTGGCAACATTATTTTAATATTACAATACTATTTATTTAACTTATCAAGACAATATTTCTTCTAATATTACAATAATTATTACAAAATATAATAACTTATGTTCGTTTGCCTATCGTGGGATAGCCAAGTGAAGATGAGCAGACATTCGAAAATTAAATAAAAATTTCAATTATTCTCAAATTTTAATTAGTAGCAAAATTTGTTAGAATTTGAAATATAAACGCCCTCTGCGGGTGTTTAGTCGACAGGGCGACCCTGAGCAACATTTGGTTACCCCTTTTACAAAACTACAGAAAATCCCCATTCATTTTTTGATACCAAACAAAATAAAATACATAAAAAATTGAATTATTATCCTAATTCCAGACTGATTCGGGTTTTGAGAAGTTTAGTCGGCAGGACTTATCTTGTGCAACACTTAGTTGTTCCTTTTACGAATCTTAAAAGAATTCCCATACGATTTTTAATACAAAATTAAAATGAAAATTAACTAACTTTCTCTGACTACCAAAATAATTGTCCATCGAAGGTCGATGCCCAGGAAAATGAAATAAAGTTCTCGGTCCTTCAAAAAAATAATGATTAATTCCTACTTCTTGTCAAGTAGGTCGACGATTTTCCTCTTTCCATTGTCGCATCTTCTTTAAAACGGTATCTTTCTCTTGTTCTTCCCTAATTTTAGCAGGGGCCCACTCATCGTTGACTACAATTGTTCTTAGTAGTCCACTTTCTTTGGATTTCGCTTTGTTGCAGTGGGAACACTCTGCTGGACACGGTCTTCTAGAGAAAATCGTCATTTCTGTGACTTATTCCGGCTCTATGTTCGATCTTAAAGTCGTACTCTTGAAGTCGTTCAATACATCTGGCGATTTGACCCTCTGGGTTTTTGAACTGCATTAACCACTTAAGGGCTGCACGATCGGTCCGGATTAAAAATTTCCTTCCTTGCAAGTTTGGTAGAAATGTTCCACGCACTTTACAACTGCCAGGAGTTTTCTTCTTGTGACGCAGTAATTTCGTTCAGGTTTTGAGAGCACTTTACTAAAATTAGTACTCTTTCTTTCCCTTCCTGAATCTGTGAAAGCACTCCTCCAATTCCCACATTACTAGCATCAGTATCCAGGATAAATTATCCCTCTGGTAGTGGGTAAGTCTAGTATTGGTGCAGTCCTCATTTCAGCAGAATTCCCTCGCTTCTTCTGTGAGTCGTGTTAATCGCTTAGCAATATCTGCAAACTTCCTAATGAATCTTCGATAGTACATAGCCCAAGAAAACTTCTTTTTTGATGTTTATCAGTTGGTTGAGGACACTCTTTGATAAAAGCGACTTTTTCCTTATTTACAGCCACGCTATCCTTACTCACTATATGACTTTATTTTGAAATAGCTCGCATTTCTTGGGGTTTAGCATCAGTTGGGCAGCTTGAAGTATTTTAAAAACATCTTCTAAGTTCTTTAGATGTTCATCAAATGTCTTCCCCAGGACTATAATGTCATCTAAATACACTAGGCATGTTTTCCAGGATAACCCTCTCAATACGTTTTCCATAAGTCTTTCAAATGTCGCGAGGGCATTACATAGTCCAAATGGCATAATATTGAAATGCCACAAGCCTGATCAGGTAGTAAAAGTTGTATTTTCTTTACCTTGTGGGTCCATTTCCACCTGCCAGTATCCAGACTTCAAATCTAAGGTAGAAAATAGTTTACTTTCGACCAATCTGTCTAAGGTATCGTCGATACGAGGCAGAGGGTAATTGTCTTTCTTGGTAACATTGTTGAACTGACGGTAATCCACACAGAACCTCGTAGTTCCACCATTTTTCTGGATCAGGACTACCGGAGAGACCCATGGGCTTGTAGCAAGTTCTATCACCCTGTCTTCCTTCTTCCTTAATTTCCTGAACAATCCTTTCAGCTTCTTCTCTCTTGGCCTTTGGGAATCTTCGAACTGGTTGACGAATCGGCCTGGCGTCACCAGTGTCAATTTTGTGTTTTACAAGTTCGTCCTGTTTTTCTGTATTTTGATACAAAAATGTCACGATATCGTCGAAGAAATTCCTTTATTTTCTTTTTCTCTAATTAATTCAGAGATTGGCCGGCAACTGCAATCATTTGCTCAAATTTGTCGTTGGAATTATCAGAAGTTGTTGTCTGACGAATTATGGAAGTTACACAAGTTCCGATTCAGGTCTCTTTCGTGATGGTAATTGGGCGATCATTAAACGTTTACTGGAATCTCTTTAGCAGTCGTGACCAACCCCTTTCCAATCAGAATTCCTCGTCCAACCTCTTCATCGTGATTTCAAGGTTTCATCATTACAGTTGTTTCTTTTTCCATAGTTTATTGAAACCGTGCTACTATAATGATTTCACTTCTTCCAGGTACCACCGTATCCTCCCGTACAGCAACTGGCACGGTACTGTCCCCATATGCATATTGGAATACCTCTTCGGCACCAACTTTGTTCATTTTGTTCTTAAAGTATGGAAACCATGTAAGTTCATTACATATCAGCGACAATAACAGTATGAGTGAACTTTTCTGTACCAATTCCCAATTGAACCTGGATTTCCCTATGGATGTTGGTACTTTCATCTACGGTTATTTATGGTTGTTGGTCGTATAATGGTCCTAGTTGCTCCAGTATCCTCTAACAGTGTATACTTCTTACCATTTACTTCGCCGTCTACGTATACACTATCATCGCGATATTTCAAAAAGGGTATCAGTATGAGATGGTCTTTGGCCGAAGCTGTCCCCTCTAGGCCGACCCGTTCTAGTTTTCCTGCGTCATGTTGTCTTGATTCATTGTGACCCTTGGACGTTTGCATGAACTGCGTACATGGCCTAGTTCACTACAATTCCAGCACCTGATAGTCTTCGTCTTTATCTTTCTGTTAGAAAGGCTCTTCACCAGTTGGTCGAGTTTACCTTCCTCTTCTTCCTCTTTTATGGTCCTCACTTTATTGTATCCACCAGAAGCCTATATAGCTGCCTCATATTCAAGGACAGCGGACAAAACATCGACCAATGTTTTGTGACGGGTTAGACGAAGTGGTCACGGAGTCCATCAATAAATGTTTGGACTGCCAAACATTCCATCATGTTTTCCGGAGCTGATGGGTAGGCAAATCGCACTAACCTGGCAATATCTACTTCATATTCTTGAAGCGTCTCGTCTCGTTTCTGTTTACGATTCTTCAACTGTGACTGGTACAAATGCTCCAAGTGTTCGTGGCTATATGGCATGTTCAGTTTCTTTTTGAGTTGCTCAAAATCATCTGTCTCTTCCACGGGTTATAGTCTGAAGGACATCTAAAGTGTCTCCTCGAAGGGCGATTGTCAGATTCACCGCCTTTTCTCTCTCAGACCATTCGTTTGCTTTGACAGCTGTTTTGAACTGTTTAAGGTAGTTGGTCCATGACATCTTTCCGTCGAAAGTTGGGTCTTTAACACGAGCAGAGTTTATAGCTCCTTCCAATTTTAACTTCGACTCCACCTCATGGCACTTAATTTTACTTTTCCATCTGTTTTATTTTCTCCTCAACAGAAGAAATTTTATTTCTTATAGAAGATATGTCAGAGGAGATTTTAATTTCCATAGAAGACATTTCAGCAGACATTTTTTCTTCTAACGAAGAAATTTTTTTTTACTGGAAGAAATATCAACAGTAATTTCGGTTTTTATACAAGACATTTTGTATTCCAAGTCGGAAGAAATTTCATCTTTTAAAGAGGAGTTATCAGAAGAAATGTTAGTTTCTAAAGAAGAGATTTCGTTTTACACGGAAGACATATCAGACGAAACTTTACTCTGTAAGGAGGTAATGTCAAAAGAATCTCTAGTTTCTATTGAAGAAATTATAGATACGTTTCCGAATCCAAACCTTCATTTTCTAGTGCTTCTTTAAGTTGTTCTGCCAGTTCTGCTTTCTTCCCTGTTGTCTCCAACTCGCAACGTAGCTCGGTCACTTTAAAATCACACAGTTTTTTAGCCATTATTGTCCACTATTTATTTACAATATTTCACTTCTCGACACCAATGTAATGTTTGTTTATTTTAAACAACAGTTTATTTATTAATAATTTATTTAAACACTTATTTATTTTAAACAATACTATTGTAATTTATATATATTTCGAATGTCTTTAAACTGTTCATTATTTATATTCACCACTGCCTATCTCCAACTGACTGTACTGTATTCCTCCACCAATAATTTATATACAAATTTAAAATTTTGGTGGATTCCATAATGCTCTTCCGCCAAACTAGGAACATGTCGCTATATCTGGAATATATTAGA